GCAGGAAATGCTGATGCAAGACTTAGCCTTGGTGGAACTCCAGCAGCTTTAGAGAGCACTTGAAAAACCTGAATATACTTAAGTCCATGGGACCCTGATGGGTTACACTCACAGGTGATGGGACAAGAGGCCATGGGCACAAATTAAAAGCCATGAAATTCCTTCTGAACACAAGAAAATGTGTCTTTTGCTGTGAGGGTGGTTAAACACTCGAACAGATTTCCTATAGAGATTCTGAAGTCTCCATCCTTGGGGATATTCAAAAGCCAATTGCATGTGGTCTTGGGCAACCTGCTTGAGCAGGGACATTGGACTCCATGGTCTCATGAGGTCCCTGCCAAGGATTCAGTGACCAAAACCTCCCAAGGGTTTTTCTGAGGTACCTCATGTACCTCATCCCCAGTTTCAGTCCTTGTACTACATATTGAATAACCAACCCACATTAAGCTAAAGGTTCTTCCATCAATTTTCTTTGGGCTTTCTTAGGTTTGATGAACATAATCCATTTTAAAGATAATTAAATCATCACAAACAATCTGCTACTCGTTCCTTTTCCTGCTTGGACTGAAGGCCCCAAGTTCTGAACTTAATACCTTCTGAACTTCTGAACTACACAAGGTAATTCCTGGGAAAATAACTTACAATTTGTCATATGAAACGAGAATGAGCAGTAAAATTCCCTAAAAATTTTAAATTATTCCCACTCCTTAAAAATGTAAGAAGTAAATGAAAAACACCATGAAGGTTGAAAGGTCAAGTGGTCAATGACAAGGACATCTTGAATACTTCATTTGCTCTCTGGATGCAAAGGGAATCTCCTGGACCGTCACTAGTTAACCCCGCTGCAACTCGGCTCTTAAAGGACAATGTTGCAGAGAGGACTTTGTTAGGATCACATTCCATGTCATTCCTGAGTATCTGCATCCCAGGCCCATTAGAACTCCCTAAAAATCTTCTATTTCTGCAATTTCATGAACGTATGTTTGTGCAATTTAAATTTGAAGGTAATAAAAGTGCAAGGGAATGAATATGAAGGGAGCACTGAGAATGCTTATGAATGTATCAGAAACAGTAAACACAATGCACCATAAATAACACCTTAATTAGCTCCTTGGCTTCCTCTGCAATGATGTTCTCTATTTTCACATTCAGAGGTCTCTGGCTGTCACATACTGCCACCATAACCCACTGCTAAGGACATGGAATCTCCAGCCTTGGGCAGATAACTACATCTCTACACCATAAACGAAACCCCAAACATAGCCATATCAGGTCATAAATACAAGGGAAACCAAAGTGTTCATCATTTTGTTGTGGAATGCTCCATAAGGAGAGCAAAAAGCTGCATTTCTTTGCTAGTAGAATTTCAGCTGGCATTTAATTTGTCTGCTAGGCATGGTAAATAGAATCATAGACTCATTAAGGTTGGAAAGAAAGGCAATTTGGCTGGTCAGAAAGCCAATTCTATCCTGGGCTGCATCAAAAGGAGTGTGGGCAGCAGGTCAAAAGAGGTGATTCTCCCCCTCTACTCTGCTCTTGTGGGACCCCACCTGGAATACTGCACACAGTTCTGGTGTCCTCAGCATAAGAAGGACATGGAACTGTTGGAGCAAGTCCAGGGGAGGCCACAAAGTTGCTAAGAGGACTGGAGCATCTCCCCTGTGAGGACAGGCTGAGGGAGCTGGGGCTGTTCAGCCTGGAGAAGAGAAGACTGTGTGGAGAACTCACAGCAACTTCTCAATATCTGAAGGGCCTACAAAGGAACTGGAGAGGGACTCTGTGTTAGGAGCTGCAGTGACAGGACAAGGGGTAACGGGCTCAAACTGAAGGAGGGAAAGTCTAGGTTGGATGTTAGGAAAAACGTTTTTTCCTGTGAGGGTGGTAAGACACTGGCACAGGTTGCCCAGGGAGGCTGTGGGTGCCCTGACCCTGGCAGTGTTCAAGGCCAGGCTGATTGAGGCATTGAGCAACCTGATCTAGTGAGGAGGTGTCCCTGCCCAGGGCAGGGGGTTGGAATTAGATGATCTGTAAGGTCCATTCCAACCCCTAAATTCTATGATTCTACAATCCCCGTTCAGGGAGTTGGAGAGGGTGATAAGGTCTCCCCTGAGCCTCCTCTTCTCCAGGCTAAACACCCTCAGCTCCCTCAGCCTCTCCTCATAGAACTTGTGCTCGAGTCCCTTCACCAGCCTCGTTGCTCTTCTCTGGACCCGCTCCAGCACCTCAATATCCCTCCTGAATTGAGGGGCCCAGAACTGAGCCTACCCCAGGGAGCACAGGTTTCCTCCAGCCACCCCAAGGAGCCTTGTCCCTCCTTCCCTGTCCTCATTTGTTCAATTTCAAGTCACTGCTCTGAAGCCTGAGACACGAAGGCTTCACAGCCAAATCCCCATGATGATTGTTCTGACTATCTTTACGTAAAACAGCATGCTTTCCATTAGTTGCCCTCTTTAAAAGGAGGCTGAAATCTCCTAAAAAATTTCATCTGCTCTAGACATCTAACAGGGAATGCTTCAGGCCCAAATCTCGAAGTTAGGAAAAAATCACATGGAATTGGGAAAAGCCTTGTATTATTTAGGGGAAATCTGTACCTCAAAACCATTTAACAGACATTGCTATTGGTTCTGTTCATAATTAAATAATCTCTTCTTTTATTTTTAGTTGTGCCCTTAACTCTCCTACACACGAGGGTCTTAAAATATCCCTGCATCTGGGAAAAGTCTTTTTCCATGTCAGCACTTGGATGCTATCCCACAGGATAAATTTGCCACACACATCCACTGCTAGCACCAAAATGATTTTAACTCATTCCTTCTATAAATCAAGAACAGAGAAACCACCCCTGTGCACTCTGTTTAATTAAACCCCCTCCCCCACTGCCTCTGCTATGGATGTGATAGATCCCAGCTCTAACAAAGTTGGAATTCAGAGAGTTCCAGTCACACATGCACTCCAGCTCCCGGGAGGTCCAAAAGAAAGTCTGAATGAGTTCAGCAGCAACGTCACGGTGAAAGCTTTGGAAAAGCCTTACAAACCCTCAAACAAACAAACCCTCGAGCTGACACTCCTGAACAAAGAAATCCAATCTAGTGCCCCACAGCCCATGACCCTGGTCATGAGAAGTGTTTGGAGGGGGTAAGGGAACTTCTACAGCAGCAGCAGCTCCCCACAGCTGCGGCCAGGGCTGGCACCCGTGGCGCGTGGTGGCAGCGCTCCAGAAGTACATGATTGACGTCAGTAACTTGTGTAATCATCCTGCCTTAGCTTCAGTCTATAAACAACATTTTGGGGGGTTGTGTGGTGGGTTTCTTGTGGTTTCTTTTATGTTTTAAGCCAGCTCTTGGTAGTTGAATTTTCTCATAGGACTGGAACGGGGAAAATATTCGAAGGAACCCCCACCATCAATTAAATTGCAGCAATCTGAACAGTCCCTCTGCCATCAACTTATCCTTCTGAGCTTCAGACCTGCTACTGGAATTGTTGGTTTCTTAAGGAATGCCACCACTGGAACTCCTTGAAAAAAGTCTTTAGAAAGCCTCAAAAGACTACAAATTAAAGAATCCCAGAATGGTTTGGGTTGGAAGAGGCAAATGCAAATGGGAGTTTGTTAGAGCTGAGTGTCTTGACATGTATCTCATGACTCCATATCAATTATTTGCTTTTGATATGTCTGTGAGGAAGAAAAAGCATGAGAAACCTCTGCTTAAAAGGGAAGAGCTTGGGAAGCTGGGGGATGGAAACACAGAATATTTCTTATTAAGCTCCTGCAAATTATAAGGGGGATGTGCCTTTAAAGGATCATGGAATCCCAGGATGGTTTGGGTTGGGAGGGACCTTAAAGTTCATCTCATTCCAACCTGCTTCCATGGGTGCTCTAAGCCCCATCCAACCTGGCCTTGAACGTTTCCATGGATGGCAGTCAGAATCAAACATCACACCGAACATGACTGATTTCCCTCTTCCCAACGGCCTTTTTACATGGCAAAGAACACACTGTGCCTTTGAAATCCTGGGAGAATCCCTCTACTGGGGTAAGCCAGCACAGCTCCATCCCCACCACTTGTGATCAGACCTCTCACAGTGAAAGGTGAGTTTTACTGCCCTAGAGGCTAAACCTTTGTCTGTTTCAACACTTAGTCAATGCTATTTTGAAACATCTTTGAACATCTCAAAGCAACTTTGTTTCAGCTCCCTTGTAATACTGGATGATTTTGGTTACAGAGTAACTGCAAAACCAGTGCACCCCTGAAGGGTGATCTGCACAGCTCACCTGATCAGATCTGGGTAGCAAACAGAGCAGTTGCTTTCCTCAAAGTAATTATTGAATCACACCTAATTCATCTTGAAAACAACCTCTGCAGGATGCACAGCAATGCAGTCCTCATTTCCAGAAGAAGAAATGTACACTGTAATGCTTTACAGAGGGCTAGAGTTAAAGAGAATCAGGACTGGAGATGGGGACAACTTTGCCCTTTCCAAAGGTAATTCAAGTAGAAGATCACAGAATGGCTTTGGTTTGAAAGGACCTTAAAGATCATCCTGTTCTGCCCCCTGCCATGGGCAGGGACACCTTCCACTAGACCAGGCTGCTCCAAGCCCCATCCAACCTGGCCTTGAACACTCTCAGGGATGGGGCAGGCACAGCTTCGCTGGGCAACCTGTGCCAGTGCCTCACCACCCTCACAGGGAACAATTCCTTCCCAATATCCCATCTAACCCTGCCTTTTGTCAGTGGGAAGCCATTCTCCCCTGTCCTGTTCCTCCATCCCTTGTCCAAAGTCCCCCTCCAGCTCTCCTGGAGCCCCTTTAGGCACTGGAAGAGGCTCTAAGGTCTCCCTGGAGCCTTCTATTCTCCAGGCTGAACTCAGCCTTTCGGTAAATGCTTCAATAAATCTGAACAACTTCACTTGCAAATATTTTTTTGGAGTTGTCATTCCTAGAAGAGATCCAAGGATGAGAGTGTCTGGGGCTGGAGGTAGAGCCCACACATATAATCACACTAGAGACACTGAAAACGTGTGGCTAACGCTGGTATTGATGGTACATGAGGGGCATTAAAAGAATCATGCCTACCTTGTTGATGTGCAGTTGCTGTTGCTGGAATTGCTGTTTGTGTTTCTCCAAGAACTGCTGGTGCTGCTGCTGGATCACTAACTGCTGGAGGGCCTGGGCGTTCTGGGGAAGGGGAGCAGACTGTGTGCGCCCCAGTGGGCGATGCTGCCGGAGCTTGTGGATTGAAGGGGAGACCCGCTCTCCACCAACTAGAGGCTGTGCGTGGAGGGGCAGTCCTGAAAGATACCAGTCTGAAGATAATATGAAGGAAAAAACAGCAGAGAAGAAAAAAAAGGAAGAAGAAAGGAAGGGAGAAAACAACTGTTGAGTAACGCTGATGGTGACAACAGGACATAACGTCAAACCCAGCCACCTCGCCTGTTATCGCTGGAGCATCCTTAGAAGAGAGCAGATAAAATTTATTACCACTGCATGGAGTAATGCTTTGCTTGCTTTGGAATTCCTTATTCACTTGGTTACTCAGAGACCATACAGAAACATCTCACTTCTTAAAATCAGCAATGTCTTACAGACTCTTCCATTGCTCTGTGGACAACACCAGTGAAGATCACAGCAGCTTGGAGAAGTTTAAATCTTACAGCTTGCCTTGGTATAGCAAGCAATCCCAGGTCCAATTCCAAGCAAGCCCCAAGCCAAACTCGCACCCAACAGCATCCAGCAGTTATCCTTTACAGAGGCTCCCTGAATACAATGAAGGATGATGGTTAAGTAGGGCATGGCTGCCTTTGGCTCCATCTTATGCTCTACCCCACCCCATGGAAATGACTAGGGATGAAAACTTCCATGTGCTAATCCCCTGACCCTGATTTGAGGAATATGGGAGCTGTTGGGCTTCATGATTTCTACCAGAAGAAGGTAAGTTAGAGGCCAAGATGACAAATAGCTGGAACTGCTTCCCTCACTGTTCTGTGCATACATGGCATTGTCCTAATGCAAAGGAAAGGTTATTTTGGGATAACTGGAGTTACTCATACGCCCTTGGCAATTTGGGTGTCACTGATGACTCCCATGTGAAATACCCATCCCAGCTCCAGGAAGGGCATGTCTTTAGGAAGTGTCTTCTTAGCGGTTCTTGGGGTGAGCCAGTTCTTGCTCTGCTTCCGGAAAACACACCTTACCATTCTTCTTAGAAAGCTGGGACATGAGCTACGCCCAACAGAAGGCCCAACCCAAGGGTGGAGTTGCTGAGGATACACATTTACTTTTGCTCATTGCACCCTGGGCAGAAAGACATCACTGGTGGGAGCTGCTGCCTCTGGAACGTGGGCAAAGCTACACTCACTCCTGGGAAAGCAGCACACTGCTTCAGGTTTTGGTTGAGGACAGAGAGAAGCTGCCTAGAGGTCTCAATGCTGCAGATTAGGAACACCTTGACATTCGTGTCCCAGGACATGACCTCCTTTTCCCAGAACTGCTCTACGTGGAAGGGTGACTCATTTAAAAGCCTCTCTTCTTGGGGGAAGATTTAAGGAGTTTCTCCCATTCTTTGCTTTTCTGAAAAGAGTCTGTAAAGTGGTATTTAATTTTATAAATGGATGTCTCTGTGTGTGTACTGTCCGTGACAAACGTCACTGTGCGTGTCCATGCACATGGCTGATAATGAATATACAGATAATTGGGAAAGACAGCACTGCTCCTCCTGCCAGGAGGTCAAATCAGACAGCAGAAGAAGGGATCCTATAATGCTTGCACAGGATATTTTGGGAGACTACCTTCCTCCAAGTGAATGACCAAGGTCTTCCTGGGAAAGCTTTCCAGTGACATGCCTTGTTCATAGAATTCTGGACTGGTTTGGGTTGGAAGGGACCTTAAAGTTCATCTATTTCCAGCTCCCTGCCATGAGCAGGGACACCTTCTACTTGACCAAGTTGCTCAAAGCCCAGTCTAACCTGGCCTTGAACATGTTCCATCAGGAATTTGGAACATGAGGACATACAAGCCAACATGAAGGATATCAGCCAGAGTAACCTGTCCCAAGAGGAACGGCAGAACTAAGGAACTGTCCACCTTCCAGCACAGAGAGAGCATGCCATCACAGCTGGATCATTTTTCAGCTGTCAGAAGACTATCTCCAGAGCTGAAGGCTATCAGCAGAATCATAAGAAACCCCACTTGGCTTCCAAGGAACGTCCTAGTACTAACTGCAGTTTGGCAGCCAGGCCACTCAGGGCTTTGGAGACCACGTGTGAGCTCAATGTTTTTGAGCTGCTGCAGCTGGAACCTGTGTTTCTTCTTGTTGCTCTATTACATTGTGACTCTTTCTCACAAGTGTTACTTTATAACA